TCACGCTTTTGTCCAGGTTCAGTGGCAAAAAAGTCAGCCGAGCATGATAGCGCATGCCTGTGGTTCCAGCTACTTGGAAAGCTGAGGCAGAAGGATTACCTGAGCCCAGCAGGTCAAGGCTGCAGTGGCTGTGAGTGTGCCACTGCACTCTAGCCTAGGCGACAGGGTGAGACTCCTACTCAAAAAAAACAAAATTATGCTTTTAAAGTGTACAGTTCAGTGGTTTTTAGAATTCATAGAATTGTGCAACCATCACTACAATCTGAACATGTTTATACCCCAGAAAGAAATACCATCCATTAGTCATCACTCATTCCTCTCACCACTCCTACCTCCCAACTCTGGGCAGCCACTAATCTTTCTGTCTATAAATTTGCCTATTCTAGAGATTTCTGATGTATTTTTAAATGAAAATTAGTTTGAGTCAGACATGGTGGCTCACATCTACAGGTAATCCCAGCACTTTGGGTGGCTAAGGCGAGAGGAATGCGTGAGCCCAGGGGCTTGAGACCAGCCTGGGCAACATGGCGAGACAGCGTCTCTACAATAAATTAAAAAATCAGCTGGCATGGCACACACCTGTAGTTCCAGTTACTTGGAAAGCTGAAATGGAAGGATTGCCTGCGTGTCCATGAGTGTGCCACTGCACTCCAGCCTGGGTGACAGAGTGAGACTCCAACTCAAAAAGAAGGGGGGGAGAAAATTAATTTCTAGGGTTTTTCTTCACATATCAAAATATCGCATTTTAGAAGTTGAATTTAAATGAATATTTTACTTTTCTGCCATATCTTTTCATTATGTTATCAGTGTGAATTTGGGGCTTCTTTTGCAGCATGTTGGTTATGGTCCTGTCAGTGTGCTTTATGCCCTTTGGGAGACCCTCTTCAGATGACTGCCATCAAATGAGGCCAACATTGGGTTGATTCCCTTGTATCCACTTTTGACCTTTTCTTTGTTATAGCAATTGTGGTATTTTTTTTTCTAAACAGGTCAGGAATATCCTGCTATAGTAGAATTTGCACCTTTTCAAAAAGCTGCAAAAAAGAAGACTAAGAAAAGAGATACCAAAGTTGGGACTATCGATGATGGTACAGTATAGCCCTAGTTATATAATGCTATTGCCTTGGGGTTTTTAAAAATATTACCTTTGTGAAAGTTAATTAGGCCCCAATATTTTCGGTCAGAAAATATACAGAATAAAATTATGGGAAATGTGATTTGCCAGTGGAAGCTTTGCTTAATACAGGTGGGTTTCCTGCAGAAAGTTTCTTCTCTGGCTAGAGCAAGTCATTCTTCAACCATTAAACAATATAGTATCGACTATTGAGTAGTAAATCTTCATAAGTTTATTGATTAGAATACAATGGGTAAAAATCAGATTTTAAAGTATAGCAGCCACTCCTTGAGGCCTCTTACCATTTTTATGATTATTATTTGAATTTTGGTTTTCATTTTCTATATAAAGAGGAACGTTTGCTGTGTGACAGGGAAATGTTCATACCCAAGCAAGTTTATATAAAGTAGATGAAATGGCCAGGCATGGTGGCTCACACCTGTAACCCCAGCACTTTGGGAGGCCAAGGTGAGAAGATTGCCTGAGTCCAAGGGTTTGAGACCAGCCTGGGCAACATGGCAAGACCTCATCTCTACAATAAATCAAAAAGTTAGCCAGGTGTCGTGGTACACACCTGTTTTTCCAGCTACTTGGAAGGCTGAGGTGGAAGGATTGCCTGAGCCCAGCAGGTCAAGGCTACAGTGGTCGTGAGCATGCCACTGCACTCCAGCCTGGGTGACAGAATGGGACTCCGACTCAAAAAAAAAAAAAGTAGCTGAAATGATCAATCCTATTTTCTAGGCTTTGAATATACAGTTAACTACACACATAGTAATTGGATTGAACAAAAATACAGGAACTGAAAAACTAATAATTGCTGTTGAAAGTACACTGGCTTTAGATTTTGGGATCTCTCTACCATTATATTGTTATGTTGGGTAGCTATCATAACTCTTGTTATATTGGATAAGGACTGGCCCCATATTTTGTATCAGATTGATAATTTAGGATCATCTAGTTTAATTTCCTCATTTGTTACTATTACAGGTATTTTATAAAGAAAACAGACAATAGTACATTGCTGCTTATTGATTATATCAAAGATTTAGATCTGGAAGACTTGTTCAAGTGACACACAGAAGCAATATACTGACTCAGATGTATTACCCTTTCTGCTGTCAGAGATGTATAGGAGGAACTCCAAACATTGCCATTACCTCCAGTGCCACAGCTAGGCCTACTCCCTAATTAATATTTTTGGAGCACTTGATTTTCATATGTTGAGCTTACTTAAAAGTGAGGTATGCCCATACCAGAACTGCTTACTTGCTATACATAATACTCTCTGAAGGCTCCATAGCCACAACTTTAAGTTCTCACCTAAGAGTGACTCTGGATTAGTAGGAGCAGTGACTTTTTTAAAAAGCAAACTAAGCAGCCGGGCCCAGTAGCTCATGCCTATAATCCCTGCACTTTGGGAGACAGGTGAGAGAACTGCCTGAGCCCATGGGGTTTGAGACCCGCCTGGGCAACTTGGCGAGACCTCATCTCCACAATAAAAAAAAAAAAAAAAGTAGCTGGGCATGGTGGTGCATGCCTGTAGTTCCAGCTGCTTGGAAGGCTGAGGCAGGAGGATCACCTGAGCCCGGTGGGTTGAGGCTGCAGTGGCCATGAGTATGCCACTGCACTCCAGACTGGGTGACAGAGTGAGACTTCAACTTAAAAAAAAAGAAAACTATGTAACACCCCTGGCAGTTCTGTTATAATGTGTGGCGTCTCATTTTTCTTGGACCTCCATGTTACACCAGATCCCCATACTGAGTATCGGTAATAGGAGTTCTGACAGTAAGTGACCAAGTAAGCCCTAAATAGTCTACCTTGTGGGTATAGTTTGTTTTTTAAATCAATCTTCCATTAAGTCGAAAATTATTTTCTTTGATAAATATCCTAGATAATATCTTTTTGTTTAAAGTTTACGATATTTTATCTTTTGTTAAATGATTATTTAGATCCAGAATATAGAAAGTTTTTGGAAACTTATGCTGCAGACAATGAGAAAATGACATCTACTCCAGAGACACTACTAGAGGAAATAGAAGCCAAAAATAGAGAATTAATAGGTAAGTGGACAAAAGGAATTAGGACACCTGAGTCTTTCTCCCACTTCCATCACTTGCAAGCTGTGGACCTTGGGGAAGTCACTGGCTTCTCTGAGATTGTTTCTTTTTTTAAAATTATTTATTTATTTTTTATTATGAAGTTGTGGGGTACAGTTAAGGGTTAGGTATACAATTGCGTTTCATTCAGGCACCCTGTTGATATGGGGTGTTTCCCCGTTCTCAGACAGATATTTGCTACTGTGAGATTGTTTCTTTTACTATAAAATGCAGGCAAGAATACTTGCCTCACAGGAGTATGAGAATGCATTAATAAGATGGGAACAATTATCTAACCTACTCAGTGTCACAACATGTAATACAAGTATAAAAAGTTCAAGGACTGATAAGGCAAGTTTAGACCATGGTAAGCCTTTGAAGATCAATTGGTATTTCCTAGTAATAAGTTCATATTCCAAAAAAAATGTTGACTTGAAAATAACAAAGACTAAAATTAGTTACTACAAAACTGAAAACCTCTTGAGACGTTCTAGCTTGGTTGTTGATTCTAAGTAGTAGATTATCACTAGTGTATCTGTATACCGTAGCTCTAAATATGAGCATATTCATTGACCCAGGGATTCTGCTCCTAGAAATTTATCCCAAGGAAGTATGTGTTCAGAATGGTGGCAGTAAGGTTAATAGCATTATTTGGAATGTTGAACTTAAATACTATTCTAAAACTTGACTTTTATTAATGGATGCTTAGTATAAGCCCATTTCTAATAACTTTCTTAGAATAAATTCCCAGAAGTAGAATCGTGGGGTCAAAAGGATTAGATATTTTTGGCCCGTTTCCCTAATTTCTTTCCAAATTTATACTTGTGTTGGTAAAACAAGAGAAAGTCCTTTGCACTCAATTCTCACCAACTGGGAATTACTCTTTAAAAACTTTTAATTTGAATTCCTTTACATTTTATAAAGTAATTTAAGCCTGTATTGTTGAAATAGAATGTTGTAAAACTTCTTTCTGATAATACAGTTGTGAACTTTCTGTTTAAGGGGTATAGTTTTCCCATTTTGGGTGGGTGGCAGGGAATATCAGAAAATGGAATCCTTTCAAGGGGTTGATAAGTATTATTAATAATCTGTTTACATTTATGTAGCTAAAAAGACAACCCCACTTTTGAGCTTCCTGAAAAACAAGCAGGTAAATCTTTTATTCTTATGGTTCTTGTAATACTTTAATTTCATTGGTTTACATGCTATAAACATTTTAAGAGCATTGGGGTTCTGCAGGAGAAATAGCTGTTTTTTTTCTATAACTCTTTAAAGATTTGGCTTGTTGGTCTTGCTCTCTGGCCCTCTCCTCCTTCACTCTGGTTGTTAGACCAGGGGTTTACTCTGCAAACCTGGAGAGTCCTTAATGTGTCCCAGAGATACTCTTGATATTCTAAAAACCACTGGAAAGATAGCAAAGCAGCAGTGGGAGACTGATGTTAGCAGTTCCTGGTCTTTGTTCTCTTTCATTTTATGGATGGAGTGGGGGTGAAGAAGGTAGAATGCCACGTTGTAGAAAGTAGGAAGGAAAGACAATCCGGTTTAGTGGGTGCCCACCATGCCTTCGGGGGATTGATTAGGATTTTGGAGATGATTTTCTCATTTGAAGGCTTATGTTGATGTTTCTTTCTAGAGAATGAGAGAAGAAAAGAGAGAAGAAAGAAGGAGGCGAGAAATAGAAAGAAAAAGACAAAGAGAAGAAGAGAGGCGAAAGTGGAAAGAAGAAGAGAAACGAAAAAGGAAAGATATAGAAAAGCTAAAGAAGATAGACAGAGTTCCAGAAAGGGACAAATTAAAGGATGAACCAAAGATTAAGGTATGAAAATAATTAAAACTGACTGCTCATTGCTGAAAATTGCATGTATCTACTTCTTTGAATATGCATGTATCTTGTGTTGGTGTAAATGAGTTTTTGTTTTTGTCCTTTCGGTGGGGAAATGAGCCAAGAAAAATCTTTCCTATAATATCAATAGTATTGTGTTTAAATTTTAAGATCACTTAAAAGGATTAAGTAATTTATGTTATCATTTTTTCTGTGCAGATCTGTGTTATTTTTATCATTGAAAATGTTCAAATTTTGGATTACTGCTCAATTTGTGGTAAAAGAGGGCTTAGGGCTGGCTGGCATGAATTATGGGTTTTATTAAGCTTTTCCTTCATAATTGATACATGAAGTTGCCTCATCTGTTTGTTTTCCACTGTCTTCAGGTACACAGGTTTCTGTTACAAGCTGTGAATCAGAAAAATGTAAGGACGAAGTACATGATACAGAGCACCTAGTATCATGTTACACATACAGGTCTTAGCTAATAAGTCCTTTTGGTGGTGGTGGTAGTAGCGTTACCTGTTGAAAACCCCTTTAGACTGGCTTGGGTCTTCTTAAAAGCTGAACTGTTTTAAATTCCTACTTTAAAAGGAAGCCCAGCTGACTTCCTGATGCTCTGTTATATATCCAGAAGCTTCAGTGACATACAGTCAGAAGACAACCATGCCTATAAAGCTCTTTCTCATCTTATATGCCTGTCATAACTGGCTGCCTTGGGAGGACAAGGGATAAATGTCTGGCATTATGTGCTTTTCCCTCTCATGTGACTCCCATGCTACCTTCTTATATCTAGCTGGGAATCTGTGAGCAGCAGATTCTGATTAATGCGTCGCATGTAGAAAGAGGAAAACCTATAGAAAGATCCCAACCTTGCTGCTTCCCTTCTGAGGGCATGGCTTGGGCAGCCCTTGTTCCAGTAAATTTTCTGGGGAAGTACTAATACCTGGTACTTCAGGGAAAGTTAGAAAAAACCTCACAGAGATGGTGACAAGGTCATGGCTAGGGCTCCCTGAGTCTCTGTGGGGCTCATTATTGGTCATAAGTAGCTTGGGGAGAGAAGGATTCTCATCTTAATTCCTTCCAGCAGTCTCTCTGTCCGCCATGCCTCAAGTGACTTGACTTGCTATTCCTAATGATCAGCAAGGCGGAAGGTAGAGCCAGCAATGCTAGAGACATTCATTAATGTTCTTATTAGAGTAATGAACATCTTGGCTTCTAATAAAGATGTTCATTAGAGAAATAAGAACACGTCCAATGAAACCTGCACATGGTATCCTCACTTCACACTGGTGCCTTCTTAGTGTCCAGTTTGGACTCGCCATTTGCAGTGGCTGTCTGTGTGCTGAAATACTTGATGCTTAAGTCTTGTGATGCTTTGCCTTTTGCTTGATGACTTATATGATGCCTTCACCCTGAGATGAACCTTGTATGATGCATTTACTTTGAGATGTGATATTTTTCTATTTTGCCTAAAAATCTCTCTGACTGTCCAACCATTAGAAGTATTCTAGAGAGATTTGTAGCAGTGATGTAAGAAACAATGACATATTTGAACATATGAGGGGGGAACCCAAAAAAACCCAGAATTATATTTTAGAGGGTGGGCCCCTTGTAATACACTTGTAATTTGTTCCTCTAAAGTTTTTATCTGGAAGTTTTGAGAAGGTTGCATCACAATTTGCAGAAGAATCATCCCAAGTAGTGGCAAACAGGTGACTGATTCTTCTACCATTGCAACACACCTGCCCACACCATGCTTAGTGTTCAGCAGTCTTTAACCAAAAACAGTTTTACCCCCATACACCACCCTCCCTATTAACCCAGTCTCACCCTGAGCAACTTCTTTTTGTTTCCCCGGATGAAAAATATCCTCAAAGGGGAAAGTTTTGCTGATGTGGAAGACATGAAACAAAAAACAGCAGAAGCACTAAACAGCATCAAAATTGACAAGTTCAAAAACTGTTTTGAGCAGTGGAAAAAGCATCTCAATAGGTATATTGCATCAAATGGAGAGTACTTTGAAGGTGACTGAAATTGAAACATAAGAAATACACAATTTTTTGCCGGGCGTGGTGGCGCACGCCTGTGGTTCCAGCTACTTGGAAGGCTGAAGCAGAAGGATCGCCGGAGCCCAGCAGGTTGAGGCTGCGGTGGCCGTGAGCATGCCACTGCACTCCAGCCCGGGTGACAGAGAGACTCCGACTCAAAAAAAAAAGAAAGAAAGAAAGAAAGAAATACACAATTTTTTATAAATCTAGGTTTTTTTGGTCCCCTCCCCCATTTATAAATATATGTGGCATTGAGTACAGAGTTCCTACTTGTTAGAGATGGAACTTCACTATTCTATTGTATATGGTATTTAGATTTTTAAGTCAGATACCAAATCTTGCTATTCATCTCTAATGGTAATATAATTGTACCATCATAAGTATGTTATTCTCAGGCTCAAGGCAAAATTATTCTGCAATGGATCTCTCCTTTGGTGATCAAGGTATTTGTTATCCCAAGTACTACATGCAAACAATTCAATAGTAGTGATCTGCCCAGCATTTAAAATTTGTGGGATATTTCCCATCAAATTATATCAACATACTGGTTTGTTAGAGAAGCTTACTGGTTCGCTTGAAGGTTGACCCATTTAAAGCCAAAGGAGTCATGATCCCATTGCCACAAAGTGATTACACCACTTCATTTAAGTGGATAACACTTTCACATTAATAGCATCCTTTTAGTAAATTACCCTTTTCATGCACTAGTTGTTCACCTGAAATTTTAAGAGTATCTGCAGAGAGAGGGGGCCTTCTGTAGTGTAAATTTTAAATATTTAGTATATATTTTCTGTGATAGAATCAGAAGGCAGTATCCCATTCTTCAAAATAAAAATAAGCATATTCTTTTTAAAGCTGCTCAAGAAGCCAGAAAAAGGAGATGAAAAAGAATTGGACAAAAGAGAAAAAACCAAGAAATTGGACAAAGAGAATCTCAATGATGAGAGAGCCAGTGGACAAAGCTGTACATTACCTAAGCGTTCTGATGGTGAACTTAAAGATGAAAAGCCAAAGAGGTCAGTAGTTGAGAGCTCTTTGGTATATTTGATTTCTAGATGCTAGTTTTGCTGCTGTGACCTGTACTATTTTATGCAGGGCAGGGAGATATCTTAACCTGTATGAGGCCGGGAATGGTGGCTCATGCCTGTAATCTCAACACTTTGGAAGGCCAAGGCAAAAGGATTGATTGAGCCCAGTAGTTCAGACCAACCTAGGCAACATAGCAAGATCCCGTCTCTACCAAAAAAAAAAAATTAGCCAGGCTTGGTAGTGTGCACTTGTAGTCCCAGCTACTCAGGAGGCTGAGCCAGGAAGATCGCTTGAGCCCAGGAGTTGAGGCTGTAGTGAGCTATGATCGTGCCACTGCATTCTAGCCTGGGTGACAGAGCAAGACTCTGTCTCAAAAAATAAAAAAAAATTAAAATAATAAATAAATAAATATACATATAATGTGAATGGTTTTTGGGTTTTGTTGCTTTTTTAAAAAAAAGTATTTCACTCTGCTATAAAAGTGCATCCTTATTGCAGTGGCCAAGTCAGAATCACAGTGTTCCTGCGTTTGTGAGTACAAGATCTTTGAGAGTTCTGTCTCAGATCTGTTTTTCATGCAGACCTGAAGATGAGTGTGTGAGAGACTACAGGGAACGGGATTATGAACGAGATCAGGAGCGCATACTTCGAGAAAGAGAAAGGCTGAAGCGGCAAGAAGAAGAGCGCCGGAGGCAGAAAGAGCGCTATGAGAAAGAGAAGGCTTTTAAAAGAAAAGAAGAAGAAATGAAAAAAGAGAAAGAAGCACTTCGGGATAAAGGAAAGAAGACTGAAAGTACAGAATCAATAGTCAGCTCAGAAAAAACTGAAAAGAAAGAGGAAGTGGTTAAGAGAGATCGCATAAGAAACAAGGTGCTGCTTTTCTTTAAACTTGTTTATTTTCATGGTGATTTTTTTCCTTTTCCTGCAAGTGTAAAGGAAAGGGCTAGCTCATTTTAAAGAGGAACCTTAACTGCCACTTTTTTCTGTCTTGTGTGGATTCTAGTAACTTCTTATGGAAATTTCAAATATAAAAGTAGAGAGAATCGAGAATAGTATGATAACCCTCCACGTGTCCATCATCCAGCTTTAACGGTTATCAGCTCAAGGCCAACATTCTTTCTACTCTACCCCATCCCTACCCCTTTCTTCCTTAAATAAGCCAACATTTGAGATAAAGACTCTTTTTCTTAATATAATCCTAGTAGTATTTTCACACCAAAAATCTAACAATAATTCCTTAACATCCTATCTACTCAGTGTTCAGATTTTCCTAATTCCTTCATTAATGTCTTTTTTAATAGCATCTAAACAAGGTCCACAAATTGTATTTGCTTGAAATGTCCCCTAAAGTTCTCTTTTGAGCTAAGCAATTCCCCCTTCTTTTGTTTTTCTACCATTTACTTGTTGCAGAAACCAATTTGTCTTGTAGAGCTTCTCCTGTACTGCGTTGACAGATTACATCCCTGTGCTGTAATTTTTTTTTTTTTTTTTTGAGTCGGAGACTCACTCTGTTGCCCAGGCAGGAGTGCAGTGGCATGCTCACGGCCACTGCAGCCTCTACCTGCTGGGCTCAAGTGATCCTTCCACCTCAGCCTTCCAAGTGCCTGGAACTACAGGTGCGTGCCACCATGCCCAGCTAATATATTTTATTATTTATTTATTGTAGATGTGAAGTCTTGCCATGTTGCCCAAGCTGGTCTCAAACCCCTGGTGTCAGGCAATCCTCTTGCCTCAACCTCCCAAAGTGCTGGGATTATAGGCATGAGCCACTGCACCTGGCCTTCTGTGCTGTCATTTAACATGTTTGTCTATCTCCTGTGCTTCCTTTAAAATTAGTAGTTATATCTTAGGGCAGGGGTCAGCAAACTTTTTTTGTAAGGGCCAGATGGTAGTTATTTTATGCTCTGTGGGCTATATAATCTGTGCCATAACCACTAAACTATAGGAAAGCAGGCATAGACAATATGTGAAAGAATGAGTGTGGCTAATGTGCCCATTAAACTTTATTTGCAAAAACAGGCAGTTCCTGATCTAGAGACTTGGATATATTCAGACTTAATTTTTAGCAAGAATACTTCATAGGTGGTGTCATGTACTTCCTTTCTATTGCATCCCATTGGGAAGCATGTGATAGCTGACTTTTATTTGGGATGTTATGCTTGATCAGTAGCAGTTGTATTGTGATAATATAATAGAATGTCTTTGTTCCTGGAGGTACCTGCTGAAATATTTAGAGTTGAATGGTCATGATATTTGTAGCTTGCTTTCAAATATTCTGCCAAAAATAATGTGTATTTGTACATGTGAAAAATATATACATACATTAGAGAAAAAAGCAAATATAGCAAATTGTTAAAAAATTAATGAATTGCTGGGCATAGGTGGCTCATGCCTGTAATCCCAGCACTTTGGTGGAGGCAAGAGGATTGCCTCAGTCCAGGGGTACAAGACCAGCCTGTGCAGCTTGGCAAGACCTTGTCTCTACAATAAACCAAAAAGTTATCCAAGCATGGTCATGCGCGCCTATGGTTCCAACTACTTGCAAGGCTGAGGTAGAAGGATCATCTGAGCTCAGCAGGTCGAGGCTACAGTGGCCAGGAGCATGCCACTGCCCTCCAGCCTGGGTGACAGAGTGAGACTCTGACTTAAAAAACAAAAAAAAAGAACCCATGGATTTAGAAATATTTGGTATGTTCTAGTTTGTTATTATCGGTTCTTATCAATTTATTGATATTCAAACTGACCCATCTTTACACAATGGAGCCCCATCATCCATATCTTTAAATACTATGCAGGTATCCCATCTGTTGTAGTATTTCATCTTGTGAAAACAGGGAAATAAGACCAGGTACGGTGCCTCAAGCCTGTAATCCCAGCACTTTGGGAGGCCGAGGCAAGAGGATTACCTGAGCCCAGGGGTTCGAGACCAGCCTGGGCAACTTGGTAAGACCTTGTCTCTACAATAAATCAAAAAAAAATTTAGCTGGGCATGGTGACACATGCCTGTAGTTCCAGCTTCTTGTAAGGCTGAGGCAGAAGCCTGAGCCTAGCAGGTCAAGGCTGCGGTGGCTGTGAGCATGTCACTGCACTCCAGCCTGGGTGACAGAGTAAGAATCCAACTCAAAAAAAGAATCCAACTCAAAAAAAGAAAATAGGGAAATATTTTTCTGGAATTACTCAATTAAAAATAAGGCATTAGGGCTACCTTTCATAAATCAGGGAGGAAGGGTAAGGAAGGCTCATATAATTTTTGTTATGCCTTTAAGTTTTCCATGCTCATACTGTTATAAACCAAACACATTACTAGAACGGAGAAGTACAAGATGACTTTATTGAGGCTTGTTTAAGAATCTCTGAGATCTAAAATGCCATCTGCTGTGGAGTTACTCTGTACCTGAATTTAAAAGCAAATTATGCTGGCAAGTTACATGGAGTCTGAGCTCATAATTTCAGGGAAATATCTACTTAAAAGAGTTTTTGACCATGTTCGGTGGCTTAGCCTGCAACCCAGCACTTTGGGAGACTGAGGTAAGTGGATTGCCTGAGCCCATGGGGTTCAAGACCAGCCCAGACATTGGTGAGACCTCATCTCTACAATAAAAATCAAAAATTAGCCGGGCGTGGTAGTGCATGCCTGTAGTTCTGGCTACTTGGAAGGCCAAGGCGAAAGGATCGCCAAAGCCCAGCAGCTCGATGCTGGGGAGGTCATGAGTGTACCATGGCACTCCAGCCTGGGCCACAGAGTGAGACTCCAACTCAAACAAACAAATAAATAAACGAAAATGAAAAAAAAGAAAGGAAAAATAAAGTCAGTTTACTGACAGGGAGGATAAACAATAGCTGTGGTTTCTTTTTTTCTTTTTTTTTCAGTTGGAGTCTCACTCTGTCACCTAGGCTAGAGTGCAGTGGCACGCTCACAGCCACCACAGCCCCAGTCTGCTAGGCTCAAGAGATCCTTCCACCTCAGCCTTCCAAGGAGCTGGAACTACAGGCGTGCGCTACCACGCCTGGCTAATTTTTTGATTTATTGTAGAGATGAGATCTCACCAAATTGCCCAGTGTGGTCTGGAACCCCTGGACTTAGGCAGTACTCTTGCCTTGGCCTCCCAAAGTGCTGGAATTATAGGTTTGAGCCACTGTGCCCAGCCTTGCTGTGGTTTCTAAGTTTTAAAAAAAATTGAACTGATTACTTCATACTGGGATGATTAAGAAAATTAGGCAGATTTCTAAAAAATTTACTCTAGGCATATAAATGAATACTTATGAAATGTTTTCCTCATAGGAGAGAGAAAGTGGGCAGTTGTCACATACCATGCCCTCACATTTTTAGTCTTGAATGACTTGGCTTCTATATGGATATATAAGTTAAGACTCTGAAAATCCCATGTAGACACTTAGTAGCAATGTTGTAACAGTTAACATATTTCATTTTACCTTAGGATCGCCCAGCAATGCAGCTTTACCAACCAGGAGCTCGAAGCCGAAATCGACTCTGTCCCCCTGATGACAGCACCAAATCTGGAGATTCAGCAGTAGAAAAAAAGCAGGAAAGTGGTATTAGCCATAGAAAAGAAGGAGGAGAGGAGTGATCCATCCAGATGGCCTTAGGTCTCCTGACTGTCTAGGCAGCCAAAGAGCGCGTGTTAAGCAATCCAGAAGTGCCTTCGGGCAAAGGAATAGAGAGAAAGTGGGTCGCTGTGCTGGTGGGGTACACTGCAGAGGAGTATGTTTTGCGTCAAAGCAGGAATCTGATCACAGGTTCAGAATTGGAAGTAAAATTTCATTGTTTTTGCAATTTCTACAAATTAATTTTAAAGTATTAGGAAAGGGTGATAGTGAGGGCATGCATTGCAGTTTGCAGGAGGGAAGTGTCAAGTGAGGACTTAATTATATGACATGAGAAAAAAAATAAGAGAGCTGGTTCTAAAACCAAAAGGTGTTGTTACTCCTGGATTGAATTTTCTTAATTTGAGTGGAGCAGAGTCACTTTGACGTCTTGTTCAGATCTAGCTATATTGCGTTGTTGGTGATAATTGTTGACTTTGTGTAGTGTAGAAGCAACAAGCATGTCATTGTAGTACAAGTACAGTGAAGAATATGACAAATTTTCATTGATGCAAAAATTTAAATAGTCGTGTTACTTCTGTATCCAATGTCCTAAAGTTTTAGGATTAGTTTTAGTTTGTGTTTGCTTACATGAGCTTAGCATAAAGAATATTTTTTAACATCTCATTTTGCCTTTAGCATTTTTTTCTAGTAATACGTAAAATGTAGCCCTTGTTTGGTTTTTGACAATCTAGTCTTTGTTTTATCTTAGGTCTCATGATCTAAGTGCATACCCTCTCCAGGAAGGAAACTGCACTGATGTCTGTTCCTGTCAAATAACAACTTGCAGTCTCAACTTGTTTTATATTGATGTCAATAAATACCAACAGCACTCAAGTATGAAGATAAGTGTGTTTATTAACTTTACTAAATAGCTCTTAGTTTTTAGAAATTAAACTTTTGATATTAAACTAACCTCTTGGAAATTTGGAAAGGGGATGAATGATACTACTTTCTGCTGTTACTAGCGTTATGCCTTTGTTTTGCCCACCAGGGAGAGGATCAAAGCATGGTTCGCTACTCTTGTCTTATAAAAACCAAAAGGTTTGGACAACATCCTTGAGCTTTTGCTTGATTTTCATCATGCCAGCACTTCCTAACATGGCATCAGTTTGCCTTACTTAGTAAGTCACCGCTTTATGTTTCCTTGGCTTTTAGAAATCAGTAGCCCAAGAGGCAGGTAGAAGAAAAGCCGCCAAAGATTAAAAGAGAATGGTCCTCAACTGAGAGAGAGTATTAAGATAAGGGAAGGGAGGTTTTCTTTTTCTTTTCTTTTCTTTTCATTTTTTTATTATACGGTTGTGGGGTACAATTCAGGGTTAGGTATACGAATATTGATTATGCAGGTACCTCTGTTGATGAGGTGTGCCCCTCCCTCCGCTAGCTGTTTTCCTCAACTGCCAATCCCACGCCCCTCCCCTGACAGTTTCCCACTACTGCCAATTCCTTTCTTATAGTATTATAATTGTTCAAGTTCCGCTTATGAGTGGAAGTTTTCAAAAAGGAGAATGACTGACAGTATCCTATACCACAGAGAGGTTAAGGAAAACAGGAAATCGAAGTTTTCATTGGATTTGGTAGTAGTGAGGTCATCAGTAAACTAGAGTGACAGAAATCATGTTACAGTGAAGGATGAATGGCAGATGGGTGCTGGAGATACCAATTTGGAAGTCATCTATTTTTAGATAGTCACTGAAGCTGTGGGCATGGATTCTATCACTTTTAGGGGAAGAAAAAAGTAAGAACAGAAGCAGACTTAAGGGCCCGGCCTTTAAGAACTCTAGCACTACTACAGAGGTAAAGAAATGTATTTATAAAGACAGAGAAAGTAGGAGAAAAACCAGAAGATTCTGGTATTAATGCAAGAGAAAAATGTTTCAAGGGGAGGAAGTGGCCAGCAGGATTGGATGCTGCAGAAAGGTCAAGTATGATTCCTGAAAAAGGCCTTGGGATTCAGTGACTTACAAATCATTGATGACCTAGAATTATGGGGCATGGAAGCCAGATTGAATTGAGAGTGGAAACTGCATTGACAACTTTTTAGAGAAATGTAAGCGGACCTCAAAAAGTTCATGGGGGCTGAGCATGGTGGCTCACACCTGTAATCCCAGCACTTTTAGAGGCCAAGACTAGAGGATTGCTTGAGGCCAGAAGTTTGAGGCCAGTCTAGGCAACATAGTGAGACTTTCTATTTTTTTTTAAATTGTAGAAAAATAGAATTCAAAAGATAAAAATATTAACTTCATTATAAGCTCCATCAAATTTAAGACACTCTTGTAAACAATGATACTAGCCATTTAGTCCATCTCTAAGGAACCAAGGGTCCTGGGAATTTAACCATGTCAATACAATCTTTTTTATAGTATTAAATGAAGAAAAATGGGTGCCCTTTACAGATTTTTTAAGATTGGGAAGGAGCTAAATCAGGACTATAACGTGATTTCCCATTGAAATTCTCAGAATATTGCCCTTGTTTCATGAGAAGAATGAGCAGGAGCAGTGTTGTGGTGGAGGACACTCTGGTGAACCTTTCCAGGGCATTTTTCTAAACTTTTTTTTTTTTTTTTTTTTTTTTTTAGTTAAGGTCTCACTCTGTTTTCCAGGCTGGAGTACAGTGGTGTGATCACAGCTCACCACAGCCTCAACCTCCTGGGCTCAGGTGATCCTCCCATCTCAGCCTTCCAAGTAGTTGGGACTACAGGTGCATGCCATCACTCCCAGCTAATTTTTTTTTTGAGTTGGAGTCTCACTCTGTTGCCCAGGCTGGAGTACTGTGGCACCCTCATGGCCACCGCGGCCTGGACCTGCTGGGCTCAGGTAGTCCTTCTGCCTCAACCTTCCAAGTAGCTAGAACTACAGGCGTGCGCTACCATGCCCGGCTAATTTTTTTTGTTTTTATTGTAGAGACGAGGTCTTGCCAAATTGCCCAGGCTGGTATCGAACCCGCGGGCTCAGGCAGTCCACTCGCCTCAGCCTCCCAAAGTGCTGGGATTACAGGCGAGCCACCGAGCCAGGCCGCTAATTATTTTTTATAGAGGCAAGGTCTCGCTATGCTGCCCAGACTGATCTCGAACTCCTGGGCTCAAGCAATCTACTCACCTTGGTCTCCCAAAATGCTGGGATTATAGGTGTGAGCCACCATGCCACGCCTCAAACATTCTCATAATTAAACAGATGGTATCATTCTTTGTCCTTCCAGAAAGTCAACATGCAAAATGCCTTGAGCATCCCAGAAATTGTTGGCATGACCTTTGCTCTTGGCTTGTCCTCTTTTGCTCTGACTGGACCACTTCCACCTCTTGTTAGCTATTGCTTTGATTGTGCTTTGTCTTCAGTATCATACTGGTAAAGCCATGTTATAATTCTTCAAAGAATGCTTCAGGATCTTGGTCCCACTTGTTTAAAATGTTCTTGAAAACTCTGCTCCTAGTCGGGCACAGTGGTTCACATCTATAATCTCAGCACTTTGAGAAGGGGAGGTGAGAGGATTACCTGAGCTCAGGGGTTCAAGAGCAGCCTGAGCAACATGGCAAGACCGCGTCTGTACAATAAATCATTAAAAAAAAAATCAGCTGGGTATGGTGGTGCATGCCGGTAGCTGTAGTTCCAGCTACTTAGAAGGCTGAGTCAGAAGGATCGCCTGAGCCCAGCAGGTCCAGGCTGCGGTGACTGTGAGTGTGCCTCTGTACCCCAACCTAGGTTTTGAGTGAGACTCCCGACTCAAAAAAAGAAAACTCTGTTCCTGTCTGCAGCTGATCTAGACACAACAGTTTTGGCAGCCATTGAATGGAAAGTTTGCTCAACTTTAATTTTTCAGTCAGAATTGTGTAAGCCGAACCAATTGAGATGTCTGTGGTGTTGGCTGTTGTTTCTGCTGTTAATCATTGGGTTTTTTTTTTTTCAATTAAGGCACAAACAAGAATAATTTTTTCCTCACAAATTGATATGGATGGTCTGCTTGTGCAGGCTTCAACTTCATCATCTTCTTCTTTCTTATGAATTATCTATTTGTAAGCCGCTGATTTATTTGAGGCATTGTCTCCATAAACTTATTGTAAAGCATCAATGATTTCACCATTCTTCCACCTCAAGCTTCACCATAAATGTGATGTTTGTTCTTGCTTCAGTTATAGCAGAATTCATGATCCTCTGATAGGGACTCTTTTCAAACTGATGTCCCATCCTTCTTAGTGCCTCAGACTAGATCCATGATATAGCAAGTTAACATGGGTTTATTTTTGTGCAAAAATATTTTGAAATCCATGCATAGTTTTTTCTTTCGTTTTTTTTTTTTTTTTTTTGAGTTGGAGTCTCACT